TATATATATATATATATATATATATGTAATCAAAAAAACTACTACAATTTATAAATACTAACGATCCCTTTAACGTTTTCATCTTTACCATCAACACGTTGTACTCTCAAAATATGATAGCAAAAATCAAGAGCTTCGAATCTTCTTTGTTGACCAAGTAATACAATCATAGCACATCCAGCCCAATGTAAACCTTCACCAAATAACTCTCTGTAATGAAAATAATATTTAATGGGAAAATTTGTATTATAACTAATAGTAAAATTATATACATGTTACTTACTCAACAGTAAATTCTGTTTCTCCAACAGGAATGCAGTATACAAACTGTAATGCACTCCATAATCTATGAAATTCTGTACATTCGTCAACATTCATTACTCCATTTACAGGAGGAGGACCAACCCAAATAGGATCATCTAAAAAGCTACGTAATCTACTGAGTACTACTTCAAATATAGACAAACCACAACAGAGCCGTTCTCGTGTTAATAAATCTCCTTCTCTGGCAATCATTGATTGCTGTATGATTAAAATAAATTTACAGTACAATTAAATATTTTATGTACTTTAATTGTTTGTACGTTACACAATTCATTTTATTACTTACTTTAGCTGTACCTAAATTATCTACATTGGGAACGATTTGTAAAGCTGCATATTTGGCTTCAAGTCGTTTCTGCTTAGTTTCTGGTTTTTCACCCTCTAAAATTGAAGATGTAATATTCTTAAAAAAATTATGATATTTTAAAATAATATTTTTATACATATAATTTGAAAATATTACCTTTACAATATGGTCTAGGTAATATATTTTGAAATGGCGCTGCATGTAACAAATCACAAACTTCTTCTTGTGATAAAGCTTGTTCCATTAAAAGGCAAAATAGAATTGTATTACCAAATTCGCGAAAATTATGAAAAAGTTCAGTTTTAGCATCTGGATATTGTACAATGTCATTCAATTGAGCATGATAATATCCCAAAACTCCTGGAGATCCATAATCGTATCTTGGAAGTTTACAAACTTTTGGCATCGCTTCCATTAGTGTCTTAGTAAATTGATGTAAACTTCCTTGAATTAGAGATTTTACAATTTTTAAAAGTTCTTCCATTACCACTGCAATACCTTGATATCCAAGCAATTTGCACATTGTACGGAAATGTTGTGGTCCAACAAATCCTGAATACTGCCCATACTGTGTACTATATGCTAAATTTAATTGTTTACTTCCCCAAAGATAATGATGAGACATTTGTGGGGGTTTATCTCTGTGTACTGCTTGTACAAATTGAAGTCCACGACATTTTACAAACCTATTATAAATATGTTTCATTTTTAATATAAATAAATTTTATCATTTATCATTATTTTTAACTAGAGAAATATAGAAATTATTTTATATTATATATATTTGTAACATAGTTATACCTATTCGTTGCTGCATTATAACAATAATTCGGCAAAAAATCATAATTTAGTTCCCAAAATACATGAAGAGTAATTCTTCCATATGGAGCTAAAACATTATGATTTGCTTCGCGAAACATAGCATCATATTCGTCTAATGCAAGCCATTTACTTAAAAGTTTATGAGTAAGACGATTCACTTGTAAAAGCCCTTCCAATTCCTTTAATACACAAAATATTAAGTTATTAAAATATATATTGAATATGAATTAAATATTATAAGTACAACATATTAAATCTAGTAATTCAACTTACCACGACTCCTGTAATATCGCCAGATTCAAATTTACTAATTGCTAAATCTAAAGACTTTTGCATATCTGCGTTAATGCGTTGTGTAATCAATTTATTCAAATCAATACTTCTTCCAAGTAACTGAACATGCCTTTGTTTTAATAAAGTTTCGTATCTGTTAGCACGAGGATATGGAAGTAAATACGCTCCTAACGCAACACATTCAACTCGAAATCTTTTATCTAACAAAATACTTGCAGCAAGTTGTTTATAATGAGCAAAAATTTGTTCACTAAGTTTATAAACAAATTGATCAAAACATAAATTTACTTCAGCTTCTACTTCATCGTAAAGGAACTGTTTTCGAAATATTGTCAAAGCATATAATGCACTATCATTGTATAAATCAAGCGGATATAAAACATACCTGAAACAAAATATTGTATTTAAAATATTTTTTAAATCTTAGATATATATATTTTTTTTACTTACTCCATCATTGATGGCTCTTTGCTTCGTAATATGTGATCAGTTAAAATCCATGGCATAGACATTTCAATAGGAAACTGAAACAAGTGTTCAGAGGATTTAGAATATAAAATTTGCGTATTATTAGTTATTTTTAATATATTAATATATATTATATACTTTTACTGAATAGAATTGCACTACTCTTTAACAGGCATACATTGATTTCATCATGCTATTTGTAAAATAATAAATTTATAAACTTATAACTACTAATAATAAAATTTCGTAATGTTATTAAAAATTTGTATAATATAAAACATTCTATAATATAAAAAATAATGCAATAATAATGAAATCAGTAAACCATATTAATGGTGATCATTGCAATAAATAATGAGCATAAATAATTACTATAAACAATTACTCATGTTTAACAGAATACCTGAATACGTTTCTCCATGGTGATCAAATCGCTGCATTCTTCATTATGCTGGTGACGAACTTGGCATTTCTAGTCATGAAATCAAGCACACAAAACGCTATTTGATATTTCTTTTTGTATATACTAATACAAAATATTCATCACTGTTTATTGAAAGTGAAGAAATAATATAGGCTATCATTTTTTAATAAATTATTTATATTTTTGAAGTTGTATTTTGAAACAGAAATATATTCTGAAAATGTTTTTAATTACCTGTATCTTCCGACCCATGGTCATTTCTAGGTAAAATTCTCTGTACCATAATTGAGATAAATCACAACAATCTTGTAATGATTCTAAAATAAAATAACATAATTAATATATTCTTAATACAAAACGTAAACATATCTAATTTAATTATACTAACCACTAAAATTTAAAAGGTAACTCCAATAGAAACTAGTTTTATGAAATTGATCAATTTGCACAAGATACTGGCCATCAATATCTTTCCTCAGAGTACGTTTTCCACCACTTTTATCCGCAATTAATGACTCTAACATAGTACGAACCATATAGAGCTGTGTTGAAGAGGGTCCTAAAAAATATATCTTTTAACAAACTGTAATAATGTGCTATACAAAATAACTTAATTATATTTATTTTTTAATCTTACCAACATTTCGACGCGGTACTTTAATACCAAATCCATTATCAGGATCCTTTTTTCCTTTCAGTGCAGGATCCCCTAATGGTTCTACTCCAAAATGCCAATCTGCACAAGTTTCTCTTACAGACACGATGATACTAAAGATATATATAATAAACAATTTATATATTATTAGATAACAAAACTATATTTACTATATTTATATAAAAAATAAAGCTCATTACAGTTACCATAAAAAATAACGATATAATAAAATACGAACCTTCTAATAAGATCTTTTTTATTTTTAATTGCTTTACGTAATGGTTCTCGCAATGTAAGTTGAACAAAATCTTGTAATTCAGCATATATGTTTCTACGTATTGCGTCAATAAAAACTGTTTCCATACGTGCCATTAATACTTGTAATCCTTTTATCATTGCAATTACTTCTATCAACGCAAATTTCTCTTCATCTGTATAGTTATAACGCGTTGCCTGATAAAAAAAAAGGATGCGTTAGTGCACATTGTAACTAGTAGAAAATAAATAATATATCTTCTATAAATAATATAGCAGAAAATAAATAATCACCCTTTCATATTCTTCAGCTTCTTGTGGACATTCTTTATTCATATGATGATCGGTAGGATGTAAAAGTTTCCAACTATAAAGTTCTGTTACAACACTTGTCCATTGAGAAAGTAATTGTAATCCACGTAATGCTAATTCTGCAGTTTCTCGATTTTCTGCATCACTGCCACATTCTTTATATGTTGTAGTAACTTCGTTACTGTATCTATATTATAGAATATATATATTTTTATAAATTTAAAAATTAATATTTTCCTTAATTTTACAAACATTTTTATTTTCACCTTGCTAATTCACTAATATATTTAACATGGTCTTCTCTAATTTGTGGAAGATGCACCATAAGATCTGCTTGTGGACTTATATTGTTTGATGAAGAGGATAACGGCCATTTTGATGCATCAAAATGTTTAGAACGTTTAATATAATTGAAAGGTGCAATTTGCATATCACCAAACAATGGTACTACTTCCAAGTTCTTAAAGATTCTATCAATTCTGTCTAATTTTAATTTCTTTTTCTGATCTAACTTATTGATATTACAAAGTTCACTATCCATTAAAAATAAACCAAATCCCATCACTTTTACTAGCATGTGTTTTTCATTTGGAGTCAAATACATTTTAGTCTCAAACATATGAACACATATATTAACAACATCTGCAAGTAACTCTTCATATCCTGGAATTTTTTCTAAATTTTCTTTTACTGTATCACGAATTTTATTCTGTGTAGCTAAAAACATTGATAAATTTTGAGATTCTTGTAATGTTTGAGAATCAGACATCACTTTAAGAAACTGAGCAGCTCTGAAATAATAATATGGTTATTTTCTAAAATTTTTATGATATAATAAATTCAAAAAACAATAGTTACCTTCTGTATGTAGAATAATCATTTTTTACACTGGATTTCATATTTTTAAGTTCATCTAAAACTGCAAACATGTTGATAAATTTTCCTAAAGTAAGTAAATATGCTTCAGAAACAAAATCTTTCCTTTTTTCATGATGACACAAACGTTTTACTTCTCCGGAGAATCTTTCAATTGCTTTTCTCTAAAAAAACATTCATTTATTATGTAATGAATTGAATTTCACCAGTAGACATATAAAATCAAGTTATTAAATACATACTTGAAAATACATAAAATTTAATAACTTATTTACTTCTGGTGCTAATACCTCTACTGTTTTTTCATAAATTTCTACTCTGTTGGGCTGTTCATTAGATTTTGGCTGAGGTATTGCACGAGAACAACATCTCCAAGTATATAACATTACAGCATGCTTCAAACCTTCTTCCAATAATTCATTCTTTAAATTAAAGATAATAGATTACATATGCAGCAATTACATGAGCATGAAAAATAATATTACCTCACATTATATACATACAACTAAATATAACATACAATTTATAAATATAATTCGATAATTACCAAACTTGCATGAACAGTAGCTTCTTCAATGTATTTGGCAATTCCAGTAACAAAGCCATTTCTATCTTCAAAATTAGTATCAAAATTGGCTTGATATACTACAGAACATGGTTGTGCCTCAATGCAAGGCTGTTCATCAGGTAACGTAAATTCATCAAGTACATCAACATTGGATAAGGCATCACCCAAAGTTACTTTGTCAGTAGCCATTAGAACTTAAGAATAAACCTAAATAGAAGTACCAAGTATTATTAATAATTAAATCTTATTAAAAACATAAAACATAAAATTAATTGATCATTTTAAAAATATTTATGAAATGAATTTTAAATGAAAGTCTATATAGACAAATTAATTAAGAAATGATTAATTATGAAATGAATTTTAAACGAAAGTTTATATAGTCAAAATAATTAAGAAAATTGAAATTTCACGTAAATATTAATCAAAGTAATCGTCATATTTATAATACTTACCTCTACAGAGGTTAAGTTTCTAGAGACAAATGTATTAAAATTTTGAACTTTTTTTATAACAAAGCAAAATAATTATTGATTATTTTACAATTTACTCAATACATTTTAGTACAATAATTTCTAATTGTATAAAGACAATTATGTATGTTTAACACTCCACCCTTATCCTAGAAAACATAAGATGATTATCTTGTCAACAATACTGTACTTATATGTAATAATTAACGTTCTTAAAATGAAAATTTGTGTTAAAAAAATTGGTTGGTCCTACTTAACACGTATCTAGAATTTAATACAACTATTAATTTCTATGAGAACAATATTTTTTAAAAAAATATATATATTCCAAAAACTTTGTTTTATAATTCACTAATGTTATAATTTACTAATGTTTAAATTTTCTTACTTCTTTATCAATTTTAATTCATAGTTACTTTTATTAATTGTACTTACGATTAATTAAAAGATTTAAATCAATGTAAAAGATAAATTATTTAAAAATTATATTTTTAACCACAAAGATAAAATATGATTACAGTGATTCTTATTGTATCAATTTCTTTGGCGTATGATACGTATATTGTAAAAACTTTCATAAAACGTAATTAATACACATTCTACCAAATTGTATTAAATATTTGGTAACAACTGTATATATGACATATTATATTTATTTATGTGAATTATAGAGAAATACTTTTAAATAAATTAAAAATTTGATGTTTTTGAAAGAAAGTTGAGAATCATTGCTTAGAAATATATAAAACGTGGTAGAGTTAGAGTGTAGAGTAATGTACTCAGTACACAATCACAATACGTTAGAAACAAAGAGCAAAATGTGTGACCATGAAGGCACTATTTGAACCTGTGATAAAGAAAACAACAAAAAATTTGAATTTGTTTAAAACATTCCTATGTTATTTTTGAAATTTTAATTCAATAACATATACCTGATTGTAAAAAAATACATATTAATCTGTTTAAACGAATAGTTTATAAAAGATGGCAGACGAGGTGTTAATAAATATTTTAACTTTAAATTGTTGGTAAGTGATATAAATATGGGATTGCTTTTATCTAATTGAATCTAGTTTAAAATTATTTTTATAACAATTATATCTTTTTACATAAATAATAAATATTTCCATATATTTAGAATATATAATTGTAATTAACATAAATATATATAATATATATTTTAGGGGAATACCATATGTTTCACAAAATAGGAATGCTCGTATGGTAGCAATTGCAGAAAAATTTGCTACTGAGAATTATGATATTATTTGTCTGCAAGAAGTATGGTCAGTTGAAGATTTCAAAATGATAAAAGTTAAGACACAAGAACAATTACCTTATTCACATTATTTCTACAGGTGAATATCTCATTCATTATCATTTTAATTGTGAGAATATAAGTTGAAGTTAAAATATATTAGTGTAATAATAGTTAACTTGTTTTTATTACTAATAATGTTAATAGTTAATTTTATTAAATGTATTGTGTAGCGGTGTTCTTGGATCAGGAATTTGTATCTTATCTAAATTTCCTGTTAAGGATGTGATGTTTCATAGATGGTCTTTAAATGGATATGTACATAAAATACACCATGGAGATTGGTTTGGTGGAAAAGGTGTTGGCCTCTGTAGACTTCAAATTCACAATATGAACATTAATGTTTATATTACACATGTAAATTTAATCATTGAGATCTGTAATTAAGATCTGTTTTGGATATAACAATAAATATTAAATATTTCAGTTACATGCAGAATACAACAGTCACAGTGATGAATACATAGCACATAGAATTCTACAAGCTTTTGATACTGCCCAATTTATTAAAATGACTTCTGGTGGTATTGACTCTGTAATATTGGGAGGTGATCTTAATACAGAACCTAAAGACTTAGCTTATAAAATCATTTGTGGTGTTGCTGGTTTAGCAGATGCTTGCTCAAGTAATTCAAATAATTTAGGGACCATTGAGTGTGCCAATAATAGTTATACTAGTTCAAAACTTGCAAGAACTTTTTCTGAGGGAAAACGTATAGATCATATTTTATATCAAGGTTCAAAGAATATTAAGGTGCGTTAATTTATTTTTCATTAGTTTGCCGATACAAAATAATTATATTAATAATATAACGTTTGTAGATAGAGATAACAAATTTTCAACATCCTTTCCCAAAACGGGTACCATACAAAGATTTTAGTTACTCTGATCATGAAGCTGTGATGGCAACTTTTAAATTTAGTCCTGGTGAGTTAGTAAATATAATTACATAAAGAATGATATAAAAATGAATAAAAATTATACTTACATTATTTACTTACATTTTTTTTTTTATTACAGGCGAATCTGAGACTATAAATACAGATGTTAAAGATTTAATAAAGGAAGCTATAAATATATGTGAAACATCATTGAAAAATATTCGTCGACAGCGATTTTGGTATTTGTTATTAAGCTGTATATTAATTATACCACTTGCGTGGTCTATGGGATTGGATTGTTTTCTTTCATCTCTCGATGTAACTATTGGGATTAATATAGGACGCATTTTATTAACAGCAATATTGTGTTATACTTTGTTTATGAGTTCTATATGGAATAGTGTAGAAAAGAATGCTTTGAAAGCAGGATGTTCAGAAATGGAAATTTATTTAGCAAATTTAAATAATAATTTATGTAAAAGTTAAGTTTGTATAAATCTTACAAGTACATGGTTCAAAATTTGAACTTCCTTTTTAAACTATTTCTTAACTTTTCAAGTTAAAAAATCAAACAATATCATTTCTAACAAAAATATATTTTCTTACTAAGAATATAATTATTAATAAATTATATCATTCATGCACATTAATATTCTCGTTATTATATTATCATAGGACAATAATTAAATTAAAATATACAAAGCATCTCTTTTATAAAGCAATTTTATAAAATGTATCAACTGTTTTTATATAATAACTTTTTAAAATCACATAATCTTCACTTATAGGTATATAGATAATAAATTATAATTTAATTTTTTTAAATTAAATTTCATATAGAGTAAAAGAATAAAAATTTTTTAAATATCAAAAATAAAAAAAATAATTTAAGAAAATTTATTAATAACAGATATCTTATAAAATATTTCAAAATAAAAATCTATTTTATTTAATAATATTTTAATTTGCAATAATGTATCATTTTGTTTATCATAGATATTTTATAAAATGATATTTTAAATACATTGCTTACATTGTTATATTTGACAATCTTTTATTATCATATTAATTTATAATTTAAATTATTCAATTATTCAATAAATATTTTTAAAATTCATTATAATATTAATATTACAACATTAATAAAATTGTTATTGTAAATGTAATTATAAATATGTTCATTTTTTTTTAGATATATTAATTATAAATTAATATAGTCTTTATACTATTAAAATTTTTATTAAAAATTCTGATTATATTTGGTATTTATTTATTTTATCACATTTTGATATCATATGTGTGTACACGTATGTGCACTTACGCGTGGAGATTACCGCACTATGAACAAATATTATTGCCTATGAGATCTCCTAAAAGCTATATATTGGATTAATATCTTTTAGTACAAATATATTTAAATATCATATAATATATTAGCACTATATATGTAGATATATATAAATTTTTCTACAAGTGATTATATACACTATAGACGTCTTTGAGCAAAAAGGCTCCTAATAAATAAAAGATGTTTGTATGTGTGATGTAAATGTATGTGCGCGTGCGCGCGTGTGTGTAATTGACTATGTAAATTGTACCCAAAGGAATTTAAATAGAAAACATTGTATTTCACAAGTGTCATTCCTGTTTTCGCGAACATATGCTTTAGTAGGCAATAGTACTAAACATACCCTACGAATTATGGAATGTAAAAACAATATAGGCACTCTTTGGTTTTTCCAAATTCAAGGCAATTGTTCAACATAATTCTTTGGGACCAATCCTGTTTTACCATTTAATGTACCTTCCAACCATCCTGGTTCCAAAGAGGCCTTTACTGTAATTGAAAATTATAACAATATTTTACTCAATATTTTGTAAAACAATCTGCTTATGTGCAATCATTAACTGTACTAAATTTTGTATACCATTTGTAATAATTTGATTTGGTTCAAATGACAATTCTCCATCGCTTTCAGCCACACAAGCATACAAAGTGCGGACTCTCCTATAAGAAAAAATGTATTTTTAAATAATAAAAGTACATACTCTACATATTATATAGATGATATCTATGATAGAGATGTTTAATAAGAATTTCATATTTACCAAATACCAGGTACTTGTCCAGGGCTTGAACGTCCACTGCTAGGAGATGTATTAACCCTAAAAGTAAAAACTTATGTGTATAATAAAAACATATTTAAGTAACGAATTTAAACATTTAGCAGTTTAGTAAGAAAAATCTTACACAGATACTGATGGATTACTTCGTTGAGCATAACTCGATGGATAATGTACAGACATTATGGAACCACGTTTTTGTTTTACTGGCAAATCAGATGAAAATGAGTGTGGATCCGAAGCAATTGATTCGCTCGAGCTACTCGTATTGCCACTGGTTAATACTGAATTTATACAATTATTTGATTATTAAATTATAAATCGTGAAAATAAACGTATACAAAAAGGATTAAAATAACCTTTATCTGCGGAATGATACATAAGATTTGCATTAGTTAATTTAACACGTCCACTTCGACTATCTAAATATGTTGGCATTCTGTGACTCGCATGTTCTGTTTCTTCATAGTCCCCATTTTTTCGTTCGTCTATAGAAGATGCTTTAGCAACAATTGCTAGTGGGCTATCATAGTATGATCTCACACCAAGCTGTGCAAATAATTTAAATAATAAATACAAACAATATATTGTATAATTCATATAAATTCACATTTAAAATGTAAAATCAATTAATAAATAACTTACATGTCCATGTGGTGAAGATATATTACTATGTACTGGATACCTTAGAAAAGGAGTACCATTACCAGAAGATGTTGATCCATCTTCTACATTAACGCGTTGCGATCTAGAGGCAGCAGTATTTTGTATTGAGCGTACAGTATCTTGTGGTGGACCAGCAATTATTCTCTCACAATTTTCAATTAAAATTTCAACTACGATATTATAAAATTTAATATCCATTATAGAAGCTACTGTTTCTTCTTCTGGTCGCAGTAAAGATGGACCAAAACATACAGCTAAATTACCAATAGTCATTAAATTTTTATCACTTTTTTTCGCCACACTGCAAATGTCATATAATTGAATAAATTTTATTTAACTACACAATTTGTTTCATTTTGATTATTCAATAGAATTAAATCTGTTATTATATACTATACCTGTACAAATGTTTTATAAGAAGAACTAGCATATTGAAGTTTGCTTTCGGAAGCCGATAAACAAGATTATGAATATCATTTATACGTGCTTCTTTGATTTCTTGTTCTGTTAAAAAAAAAAATAAAAATGAAAAATATAATAAGAAAAAAATTGATTTTAACTTATAAAAATTTAATATAAAAAATAGTATTCTTAATTTGAAGATTTGAAATAAAATAATATTATAGAGAATACCTATACGCACTCGCAGCTGAAATGAAACTATTATAATATCGGAAGGTCATTAGTGGTTCAGATAGTGTCCTTAAATATGTTTTGAGTGCACTAGTAATAGTTTTACTTTCCCATTCAAAGCGATCATCAAGATTAAGCTTTTCTAATTTCCTCCTATCTAATCCCATGGCTAAAAGTTTATTTACTTTGGAAGCAACACCAACGACTCTATATAGACCCTGTTCCTCAAGGCCTAAAAGAGTAATGTAATATATTAAAGTCATTTCTTGATGAGATTTTAAAATAAAATAATTAAATCGTATATTTAATCGTTTATATCAGTTTTACCTCTATCTTCAAGTGTTGTAATGCATTTTGATACGAATATAAAACCTGTTTCATCTAAAACAGTTTCTTCAGATTTAGTTGATGCACCTACTATAGGATAATTCTGAAATTATAAATATACTGTATAAATTTTATTCAATTATTCGTAATTTAAAACATAATATATTAGAAATTAAATAATAGTCACTTACTGGTTCTTTACCATCCATGGCATCAAGCCATAATTTTCTATCTTCTTCAGAAAGTGCTTGAAATGTGTATACTATGTTACCTCTAAAAGGATTTTAAAAATTATAAAACTAATATACAAATATTTGTATTATAAGTTATTATGAACTGAACTCACTTATCAACAGTAGTAATATCAAAACAAAATCTTTTTTCAATTGTATCTGACATACGACGTACACAAGATGCCAGGGTAAAAACTTCTTTGCTACTCTATTAAGTCAAAAAAAAAAAATACTATTGATTCTTTTTTCTTGATAGTAACAAATTCATAGTAACATTCATAACAATCAATTTAAAGTTGACTTACAAATTTTCCTGTAAGTTGATTATAAGGTATCATTGTAAATTCCTTTTTGTCTTTTTGATATGTGCAATATTGTTTTGTCCATGTTGTGCCAAATGCCTCTATAAAAATTTATGATCATATTAATACGTTTAAATATTAATACCAATCGTTACAAAAGTCAATATACTCACTTTTTTCCATTAGAAATAAATAACCTTCACGTGTGTAAAGTTTATTGACTCCACTTTCTACAGCAGACTATAAAATGAAAATATTACTAATATTTTCATTATCATAACTTTATTATTAGTTGTTATTAGTATTATGCAATAAATGATTTTTTTAATGATACAATATGTGAACTAAACTTACATTCAATCATTTCTAGAATTAACAAATATTGTTTTAATATACATCATTTCTTCTTATATATTGTAAATAAAAGTATACTAAAAATAAATAATTAAAATAAGTAAAACATATCACATACCTTTTTCATATCCTTCATTTTATTCATAAGTGATTCTGTTTTATCCCGGGTAGCAAGGAAATTTTCTCTAGTCTTGTAAAACACACACACACACATAAAATTGAAAATTAGTAAGCTATTTGCCATGCTGTTATCCTAATAATATTTGCACCACACAAAAATTTAGTAAGAAGTTACATTTAAGTATATCTACAAGTAGTTGAACATTAACAACTAAATCATATTATAAAAGAATTACTAATATTAAAATACTTCAAAGTGCACAAGACATTTAAAAATACCCAATAATATATATCCCAAATAATCTTTTCAAAATATTTGGAATATGTTGTATCACATTCTATAATGACAAACTCAACAGAGTAATATATATTACAATAAAATGACACAATTTTTTTATAATAATTCATTAAAATTATTGAATTATTATTTATTATAAAATATATAAGAAATCGAATGTGAAACAACAATATACAATGTACTTTATAGATTTATATAAATCAATGTTACAATGCACAAAGCAACTTTGTTGTCTGAATAGTGCTAATGTAAGTAATCAGTTTTAGAATCGTGCTTCTAATGCTTTTTCATATGTTTTTAAGCAATGAAATACGAAGTAAAAAGGAAACCAACCTTCTGTATTTTTAACTGCAATTCGGTCATATAAGGTTTAAAATCTTCTGCAACTTCATGTCCTTGATGATAGAAAGTTAACCAACCAAACATAAAACCTAGTAACTGAAAAAAAAATTATTTGTAACAAAATATTTAATTATTTCTAATTTATAGTTTACAATAATTTAACGAAAAATTTATAAAAGGAAAAAACTTACAGTTTCCACAAATTCAAATTTTTTACGTTCTTGTACTTCTTGAAGTAAAAACACATATTCTAAACTAGCTTGACAAAAATGTCTCTCAGCCATTTCCAATGTCGCATCAGCCTAAAAATAGTATATCTTAATAGATCAGACACTACAAATGATTTATTTTCAAGATATGTAAATATTTATACTTCTTGAAGAACATTGTCTTGTTTTTTCGTAGATAAATTCAAGTAGCGTTCTTGACTTTGACAGAATTTTATAGTCTGTTTCTCAAATTTTTTCCTTCCTTCCTATTAATATATTTCAGTTATATATTATTTCTTAAACAAATTAAGATTTTTATATTACCTTGACACCTCCTATATGTTCTTTTCTAAAGTTTTCCAAAGGAAGTATAATTTGATCAGGAGCACGATCAAGCTAAAAACAAAAGTTACTGAATAAAGTAAAATTTTTGTAAAAGTATAAATTTAAATTCATTGAATCACAATAAGCAATGATATTATCTTGTATTAAAATAAAATTATATAACTTTTAGAAATCATATGTGCATATATGCATAATAAATTAATAAAAAGTGATAATTATATTGTGAGTCAATGTTTATTATAAAAACACAAATAAAAAATATGTAATAAAATTATATAAATAATAAGTAATATACAATGTCTATTTTTGAATTGAAATAATAAACATTTTTTTATGTATTCAAGATAATAATAATAATAATAACAATATCCTCATGTAATAAGATCATATTATATTTAAAATTTATGATTATCAAATTATTGTTTAAGAATATTAAATGATCCATTGATTCTAATATTTCTAATCTTTATTAACATTTCATTCAAAACACATTTTTAATTTCTTGCAAATTTTTATAGTCGCTTTTTTGATACATAAATGAAATGTATTAGAAAACTGATTCTATTTATATTACTATAATTTTTTTTCAATAATAGTTGTATTGATGCATGTATGTAAAAATCACAAAAATTTATGTGATATAAATTAGATATAAAAACAGAATTTAATTCATAATTTCATTATTCACACATTTATGTATCAAGAAACATTTATTTATAGTATTAAAAGAAAATGTGATTTACTAATATGCATTATTTGAATAAGCTTATCATAACTACTTTAGCCCTAAATACTAAAGTGAACAATATTGTGCCTTTATATTTGAAATATGGATTAGATGTAGTGATCTAATCTTAATTATTTATTCTAAACTAGTAGTTTATTATCATCAAATCTACTATGTCAATTCTAAAATAGAAAATTAGATACAAAATTATTTAATTATAAAAAAAAATTACTAAGCACATTCCTGTTTTGAAATGATTGCAAATGTATGTATGTGTCCTCCATTCACACATACATACAAGCATTACTGATATTACTATAGTAAAATAAGCATAACAGCATTCTGTTATTTCACTATTTGAGAAGACTTATTTTTCATTACAAATATTTAAATATGCAACTTACCTAATGTATTAAAGATTATTAAACATAACTTGTTACTGACATATTAATAATACTAAAAATACTTAGTTTTTTTTTTTTATATGTATTAAATGCTTAAAATATTTTATAAAAATATGTTATATATGTGTAACAGTTACATGCAATATACTATATGAAGTCTTCACTTGCTCCTTGAAGAGGATATTATTATAAATGCTGAAAGCTCTCTTGTAATTAAAAAATAAAAACTATTTATATGTGCATTCAGAAACATGACAAAGAATATGTACATTATGATATACTAAATTGTTTGTTTTTAAGAAATACTTGAAAAAATAAATATAATTTAATATGCAAAATACAGAAAACACTTTAATTGAAAATATGACTCAAAAGATATACCATTAAATAACCAGGATGTGCTCCTTCTATAAAAACAAAGGTTTTTTATAATGACACTTATTATATTTTTATAAACAAATGACACAACTATATTTTTTTGTAGAGAAAACAAAAAAATTATTATTTAAAATATTTTAGTTATTAATTTAAAAAAAAATTATATTGTAACTTTTATGGTAAACTTATTGTATTATTATATATAATCAATATAACCAATTATATATAACCAATATAACCAATTATATTATAATTATCCATTTCTCTTGTCAAACATATTATAAAATTGAATTATAATGAATTAATAAAACTATAATAAATATTTTTATTATTTTGATCCAAGAATATAAATTTATCTAATGAATATAAAACATACTTATGTACTAAAAACATTGCATACCATGCGATCCCTTTCATCCTCTATTGATGCAATAAGTTTACCAAATTCCTTAAGGCTTTGTGATATGTGAGTTTCGTCTTCAGTTTGAGTTTCTCCAATACATTCAAAACTAAAATTCTGCAATGTTTTGGAAAATGCTCTTTGCGCTTTGGATAAATCTAAAATGGTTAATAGATTTCACAATATAATATGCCATGCCATAAAAATAAGTATTTAGTATAAGTTACATGTACAATAGTAAAACATGAAAATATAACATATGCAATGAATTAATTAATGAAAATAAATTAAATCTTGAAAGTAGCGATAAATAATATAGTTGATTACAAAATTGATTAATATTGTAATTTTATAAGTAAAATGTGTCATTGGAACAATGAAAGTAAAATATAGTAAGATAAGAGCAGCTGTTACATGAGCGTAACCTTATCAACCTTATAACAAATAGACTTACTCTTGGCAGCTTCTAAAAGATCTTTGACCACCTTGATGAGGCGTTTAATTTGTTGGCTGGTCTTGTCCAATTCACGCTCATGATAATGAAGATTTTCTCGAAAATAGGGGCTATCGGTTAAGCAATCCGTAAACTCTAATGGTTTGAGGCCAACACCCATTATTCTTGATTGTATGTTAAAATTCAAATGTCATTAATAAATTGAAACAACAAAACCGATAAATTAACACTTAGAATAATTATTATGATTTATGATCACTTAACGAAGATGGTTTTATCACAGTACGTCCATTGGAACACTTTGCAGCGCGAACGTTCTCTAACTTGAAAAATCAGTTCACAATGTTTCTTTCATTTATTGATAGTCATGAACGATACATTTTCTGAATCTTTGTTAAGACTAATACAAATTACTAGCAAGATCATATAGATAAGAGCTTTATAGTGTCGATTAAAGATCATATACCCTCTTGAGTGAAATGAACTAACTACAGTTTAAATGGCGGGTTATTCAAAACACTTGCGATATGATATACGGCATGTAATATAAAATTATATTGTAAATACAAAATGATTATGTAGTACTTTTTAAAAATAACTTATATTTGTAAATATATAATAATTATTATTATAAACTAAAAACCATTATTAAAATGAAATTATACAACATTATAATTAATATTTAAAATTTAAAATTCACGAAAAAATTATATTAACACTTATAATTAAATAACTATAAATTATTTTTTTAAATAAATATTTTAATAATAAAAGAACATTTATTCAAATAATTAACTAATAATTTAAAATATGTGCATAATATATGTGCGTACGTATGGGTGTGGATGTGTATATAGAGGAAAGAATGCACGAATTTATTGTATTTAAATAAAATTATAAATAATAAGTATTTAAAAGATTTTGAATATAAGTGTTATATGTTCATGAAATACTTTACAAAAGTCAAAGAGTAGTAGATAGATATATAATGCTATCAAAGATTCCAAATTTCCATATCTTTTAAATGCAATTTATAATATTATAAGAACAAAAAATAAGTAAGAGAATATTGAATAATTTTCCAATTTTTTTTTCTAGATGACAGTATTAAAATATCACTTACCTAAGAATACAAATAGTTGTGAAAATTTAGAAGCGAAGTTTGCTTTCTTAAATTGACTTGAATTCCATACATTTCTCATGCAACACTATGATGTTTTTGTATTAACATAGCATTATTATATATTAGCAAAATTACATTGTCCTGTATACTTACAAATATCGATCTTCGATACAAAATGTCTACGTCTTGAACTTAGGCTTGGATTATCATAATCTTGAACATGAACAATTTATTTAAAGAATGGAATCCCATTGGTATATTGATAACGGAATCTGAATGTAGTACAGCTGTATTATAAATAAAAAATACTATAAATAAATGAATACAGGTTTGTCATCAAAAATATAATTCAAAGCTATTATATGATTCTTGAATAAAAAGTTTCTACTCTTATAAAATTTATATTAATTAATATGATGCAATTATTTAAGTATCATTTTCATAAGTAAATTTGCCGAAAAGTTGGTTAGACTTCTTGATGCTGTTTCTCTTTTACACTAATAATTTTCTCGATAAATCTGTCTTTTTCTTAAAGGGAGATCAGTGTTGAACGTGAAATACTGAATCCGTCTTTAGTTGTTCGAATGCTAGTTGAGCTTGTGAACTATAAATTGAATAACCTGCTACAGAGAAATGTGGTCAATTTTCCAGTCTATGATTGTGTGGTGTTTGTATAATAGGTTACATTGTGTCCTCTAAAATGACGTTTCTAACTTGTAAATATTATTTATTTGAAACTAACTGATTTTTGTTGATTATTAGGACTCGTTGACAAGTATTTTCACTGTCTGTAAACCTGTGTATTATTTAACAATTGATGTGAGGTTATGATAAGAAAATTAATTTGAGTCACATCCCGTGTCCAATGTTTACTATTAGATCATTTTTTGGAACTATTAGAGGTAAATAACCTATTGTTTATGTTTTACTGAAAAGATATCAATGTAATTTCTGTTAATTCATAAACATTTACATAACCTCTCATGTAAACGTGCTTGTTTTGACATTCGGTGGATTCACGCTGTGATTAAAACTCTCACACATTTATTTGTAACTTGTACATAACCCTTCGTTTCGGTTTATTTATTGATCTTAATTTTTTATTTTTTTATATTATATTAATTTACCACTATGTTTGAAGTATTTGTTATAATATTCAAAAGATGAGATAAAAAACATGATAGTCTCATCAATAAACAAATGTATGTAAAAGTACATTTGTAAAATATTTTGCATTAATATTTTCTTATTTTTTATAATAAATTATATTATCACTTTTTATCAAATTATTTAATTACTTAATTGAAACTATTTTCAATATTATTTTAATATTATAATTTTGTATTTTTCACTGTATATATAAATATATATATCTATATAACATTATAAATACAGCTTCGTGTAATGTTTTGGTATATAATTTTGATTATAAATATAATATAAGTATAAGATAAATATAATATAAATATTTTTTTTTCATTAGCATACACAAATTTTTACTACATCAAAGTGTTAAAAATTCAGTTACATATTGTTAAATAGTGTGTTACATAGAAAATAAAATATTCAAATAAATATAAAAAAATTTACTTTGATCATTAATATCAATAATTTATATGTTATAATAGACTTATTATATGAAATGTAACAAAAATATAGCATTTTTTAAAATTAAACATATTAACATAAATATTACATAAATTAACGTAATATACATTTTTTAAATTGAAATTAGATTATAAGTATTATGTTATGCCTATTAGTCATGATATTAACATTTTATGAAATTATTTCAGACTGTGAAAATTCATTCATATATCAGATATGACATTAAATGGTTTTAGCAATCAAAAATTAAAATGATTGGTACAGCCTGTAGTTTAGAAGATGCGTGTCAGCAGGCTCAGGTATTACTTGATTATTAATTTCTTATAATTTTGTAACTATTTCAAGTAAGTCTCTATATTTATATTTTTTTATGCAGGATATGATAAATCAAGTTTCCAAATGTTGGAAAAATGTTCAAGGACAAAATTCTGTAAGTTTAACATGTGATAAATCATCTATTCAAAAAAAAGAACAGAGTCATTCTAAACATAGTATTCAGTCAAAATTGACTAGATTATATTTTGAAGAACTTACTAAAGTTCCTCATGCAACTCCTGACTCTGTGTTGGTATGTTTTTTATAAAAACTTATAAATTAATATTATAAATTAATTTTATAAATTAATAAATTGATTTACTAATAATACTTTCATTCATATAGAATAATTTAGAAAATGAATGTGATCTTTTGGGAAGATTGGTGCAAAGAGAAGGTTTACATACATTAATTGTTAATCTCTATGCTGGTAATAAAGGATACTCACTAGCTGTAAGAAATAGGTAATTACATTACATTTTACAGTTAAATGTATATTAATATATTTATTATAATTATTAATATAATTAGAAAACTAAATTAATAAAGTAAATTAATTGAATAATTTTAATTAAACAGTGATAAGGGGAATCAGTATGATAAAAATTCAATATTAGCTGAAACACAACTGATGGGTTACGAACAGGGTGAATTGCTTTCATGTATAGATAATGGTCAATTGCCTGCAATGTTGGCTGAACAACTAGAAACCAATCATTCTCATTTATTTTATGATGGCTGTATAATAGCTGAAGTTCGAGATTATCGAAAAGCATTTCCTCACACTAAAGCTGAAGTTCATCATGTGCTTCTTAAGCCTACAACACAAGTGAGAAATAAAAAAAATATAATATATTACTATTATTTTATAGTACATTTATTATTTTTCAAATTATAACAATACAAGTTATTTTTTAATAGTAGTTCATATAAAGTAGTTCAAAATTTTTCAATTTTTGGTCGTAAAAATATTAAAAAAGAAAATTGAAAATAATTTTTAAATAAAAATGAAGTTTGAGAAATATTAATAAAAAAATATTTTTAGATAAAAAGTTAAAAAAAAGGAATAAAATTAATTGGCATAATGTTTTCATATTTTTTAGAGTGTACTTTCAGATGTATCAACCTTGACTAGTGATGGAGATTGGAGTCATGAAGAACGATTAATGTTAGAATCACATTTAGTTGCAGCTACTCAAGGACCTCTTTGTCTTGATCCAAATCCTATTCCTAGCTTAGCTACAACACGATTGAAACAGTCTAAATCTTTGCTTACTGATCATCAACTTATGAGACAAGCCAAAAAGTTTTCACAGGTAATTTCGATTTTTATTTATTTGTGCTTATATGTTTTATCAGATAACTTAATTTTGCATTTTTTTTATAGGTTACAGTTAATCGTAAGAGAAAATTGGAGCAATTAGCACAACCGGAGGGACTAACAATACAAGATTTAATGCAGAAATTAAGAACAAAAAGGAGAGTAGTTACAACCACTGCCTGTCCATCGCCTTCTCTTACAAATCCTCCTTTACTTCCACCAAGTACACCTATCGATGTTTTAAGGTAGATTTCAATAGAAAATTCATTTTAATATTGTTTATTATTAATATATAAATTAATATACAAAATTATACTTTGATAGATTTGCAAAAGCATACGAACGCCCGCGAGAAACAAAAGACTGTTTGCCACACGTTATAGAAGAATATATATTAGAAACGGGAGGAAGTCAAGGTGAAATAGATCACATAAAGCTTTCAATTCTTCAAAGACCTTCTAATTCTGAGTACCTGGGAGAGCTTTATATGGATAAGAATCATCGTGAAGGAGAAAAAAACGGATCTGCATGCCGGTAAATTCTTTATATTTAGTTCATTTTCTTTCTATCGAATTATATTTTATATTTTTAGTTGAAATCGTGAAAGTTAATTAAATAAATAAATCATTTGGAATCTTCTTATAGGTTTACATTAGGTACAAGAGTTCTGGCAAATCATTACATTCAGCAATTTACAGAAATATTTACGGAAGAGGGTAGAAAGAATGTTAGAATAAAACATGTTGTACCAGGGCAGGTCCCTCGTGTAACATGTACACCCGGTATGCAGCGAGCTCATCAACAGGTATACATTCAAAAACTAAAAATATTTGTTCAACTTAATGTTTTGTATATATTAATATTTTTTTTCTTATATTTTTTTTTCTATTTATATTTTTTTTCTTATATATATATCATCTATACATGTTTTCAAATAAATACTTTATAAATTTGTTTTAGGCGCAGCAAGCAAAAGCGGCGCAATTAGTTGCTCAGCACTTACAGCAAGCTCAATCTCAACATGTCGCGCAGCAGGTAACTTAAATATTTCTTGCTAAAGATTTAAATAAATAAATCTGATGATCATAGCAAACTTCAATAAGATTATTCTGAAATAAACTAATCTAACTGGATTATTTTAACATTCATAACTTTACTCATTTCAGATTTTATCAAGAGCTCAAGGTCAGTTAAATACTTTAGCTGGACAAGTAGCTTCAATGAAGACCATGACAGAAGCTACTTGTCCAACTACTTCTGCACAAAACAACTTGACATGCGTAGATGCAACAAATATTCCACAAGTTATTGCCCAAAATGAGACTACGTCAATGAGTCCAGGGCAGTCTTTGACTAATGGTGGATCAAATGCTTCTACATCCGTACAAATTGATAACTCTACTATATCAGTTACTGATGGCAGTTCCTGTAATGGGTCTGGAATTTTAGTTTTTCAGCAAAAGTCAAACAGTAATATTAACAATACTACATCTACAAATGTTCCAGTTTTGGTATGAATTACACATGACTTTATATGAATTGTGTAACATTATATTTTGATATAAATTTTATATATTATTTTATTCATAGCAAGCTCAGTTGCAAGCTGGAACACAAAATTGTGTTACGGAAACCGTTAATCAGAATCAAAATGAAATGCCGTTTAAAAAACATTCTACCAATCCTGCAATAACGGCTCTTGTAACGTCTCTCATGAATTCTGCTCAACAATTTCAACAGCAAGCTGCAGGTTTGTTGTTAATATGTACTGCAATAAAAAATAAAAGAAATGTAAGAAGAAAAAGAATTAAACATTCAAAATATATTAAACATTCTTGCAGCAAATGCAGCAGCTGCTGCTATGAATAGTAATGCACAGACTACAAATAAGTCAAATAATGCTGCGATCCTTAGTTTGTTAAATAGTAGCCCTGCCAATTTGACGCAACAGAAAGTCCAACCACGAAGGATCTCTTTGAATGCTTCCATCCCATCTAGAGTTCTTAGTCATGGAAATGTTATTAATGTCCCTAATACAACTGGTCAAGTAAGTTAATTAAGCTTGTACTTACATTTTTAAGATTAATATGTTTGGAAATTCTAAGAAATATATTTTTAGGTAAGAGTGAGTTTAAGTTCAACTTTAACAGGACAATTAAATTGTAAACAACAACCTGTCAAAGCAACAGCTGTGAAATTAGCTCGTGTGCAAGATCCTACTTCAACTCTTGGATTATCAATGTCAGGACTTTCAGCGTTATTAGCAGGTAAATATTTAAGAAAATTATATAAAATATAATTTGTACGCATGGCTAAGTTGGAATTATGTACTGGTATCATTAAAATAATATTTTGAATGTTAATAGGAACACCATCTGCAGATAATCCAATACCAGGAATTAATTCTGGCTCTTCTTTGCTTGAGCGGTTAACTGCTTCTTCCAATCAGAATAATCAATCTACGACGCCAATGAGTACTCCACCATCTACCAATGTGAACCTGCAGGGTGTAAACCTTACTAGTCTGTCAAATTCTATCAATGGTCTCCAAAATGTTCAGGTTGTGGAGAGCTGCTTATTTCTACATATGGCGTAGAGGATGAAATACTACTGTACTATTCATTATATGACAGGTATCATTTCCCGGACTATCACAACCCATTACGATGTCGCTAAATGTGTCAGCGACGACGGGTTCCGTTACACCTACAGGGGTCATTGTTTCTCTACCTATATCATCTGCAACTAATACTTGCACCACGGTTTCTAGTGTTAGTTTTTTTTTTTGTACTTCACGCATCTGCACATTTCGGTTGATTTAACATAAAAAGAATAAAAGTTATTCTAAAATATTAATTTATGTTTTTAGATGGTAGCTACTACAGTTGTTACAACAGCTATTGCTGGAAGCACACCAACGGTAGTAATAGCTAATCCTGCCAATACTCATTTGTCATTACCAATTGGTAAGAATTATTTGTTTTTGATACATTAATTTATATGTTATTTTTATGTAAAATTTCTTTATTTAATATATTAATAGTTGACTTAAAAAGATAAGTAAATGTTTGATATCGATATAAACTGCATAATTGTAAATATAGAAATACAGAATATCTTATTTTATTGTGCTATAAATGTTGTAGCCCAAATAATACCTTCTGCAGTCAAAGGGTTATCGCAACAAAACATACGTAGTAGTAATTCTGTTACCCTCGCACAGGTATTTATAAATTATATTTGAAATTAAATTATGTTTATGATTAATAGATAACAATTTATTAAAACTTCATAAGTTTTAAATCATAAAATGAGATAAACATTACTTTTTAGGGCGGACAAGCAATTCAACTTGTTGGATCTCAAAGGCCACGACTTAATCACATAACTCGTCAAGTACAACCAAATCAAGTTAAATCAACTGTTTTATCAAATCAATTAGTAACTGTGGCTAAAACAGTAACAGCCAGTCAGTTAATACTATCTGGCAATAAACAGGTGTTAACTCCTATAATGGGTAAGTTACCATAGTTACCATGTTACAATATATTGGTAGATTATTACAGTAAGAATAGAATTTTGTATTGTACAATTATAGGATATTGCATAACTATATTTATACAATTTTTATGTTTAAATGTTTATATGCATAAATGTTTTTATATAATTTATTCTTTCTTTTGTAAGCTGATTAATTTATTCATATTGTCTTCAATAAATAAAAATAGTATCATGTTTTATAGCAGCAACGAAACCAGTGCTTATGGCGTCCCAAACAACACCTTCTTCCCAAGTAGTACCTGCAAATAAACAAACATTATTGACAAAATCCTTACATGCTAGAGCTTCAACAGGACAGTGCAGTCAGCAAACTCAAAGTCTTGGCGTGGCAACATTATCACAACAACAAGTATGTATCTTTAATTAAATAAAGAAAATTATATATTAAAATACAAAGTTTTAAATTTATTTAAAATTATAAGTATAATTCAAGGTTGTTTATTCTATAGCTACAGAGGACTCTTGTAAAACCTGTACAACTCCAACAGTTACAGTGTTTAGCTACACAACATAAAGTAGCGGTTGCAGCTGGTAATTCACAAAACAGAACTCAAATTGAACCTCAAAGGAATTCTACAGCTGCTCCTGGGGAAGATCCAGCCTGAACATGTTCAAATAATTAATATTTCATCACATTTAAATAATTGGAGCCTGCCTATAAGAAATGTAATGAGGTGTTTGTATATTAAGTTAATGTGACATTTATAAATTTTAATTATGCATGCAATTATAATTATAAAATTATACAATTTTTATTCATAAACGAACTATGTTTGCCAACAAAGACATATTTTATAAAAATCAGCATAGTACATATTTGTGCACATGTGCAATAAATTATTTCTACAAAAAAAAAAAAAATAAAAAAAATTTCTGCCTCAAAATATTACTTTGAGGGCGGTTTCAATTATTGTACATATACATAACTTATACATATATGATTTGTTTTATATTAAAAAATATAATAAATATTCCATTTTTTATTGACCTCGACCCTTCTTTATATTATTACTATTTATTTCAAATAAAAATATTTTTTTATTTACATATTCTTTTTTAATCTTTATACGCTATCACTTAAAATATACGTATTAAAATCATTAGAAACCCCAAAAAATATTACTCAAGAATCCATATTACATCTTCGTAAATTCTGCCTGAATTTTTCAAATCCATATTATTAATGATCTTAAGTTGGTAAATTACACAAATTTTTTTGTTCTGACATTTTTATTTTATTAATTATATACAGATTAATACGCCATAATTTAATATATAAATTTTTCAAGTAACTATTTTCAGTAATTTTTGTAATTACAAATGCTGAAAATAGTTTACTTGATCTAAAGCTTCTAAAATAATTTCTCACATTTTAAAGTAAACATAAAATGTTATTTGTATTCCTAACAATTACCAAAATCTGTGAACCATTACTTTCGTAGAAGTACTAGAAGTAAGGAAAATATTCAAGTGAAACAATAAATTAAGATATTACAAATTCAAATTAACAATTAATTCTTAATTAAAATTACATACTTATATACAGTCTTTAACGCTAAAAAATATTTTCTATATTTCAATAGATTAAATAATATATAATCGTACCTTTGGTATTATCTTTTAAATATGTAACATTTACATGAAGTAATTATCTAAAATCTTCTTATACCGATTCTAAACCAATGTATGAATCGTATGATATGTATAACAATAACAATTTTTTTTTTGAATTATGATATAAATATATATATATATATAATTAAATATATAAATTGTGCTTTTTATAATAATCGTCAAAAATCGCTTATTACATAATGACATTAGTTCGATATTTTCGATTAATCGAAGAATTTTTCCTTCAACAATAATTAATTATTTTCATCAATAATTATGTTAATAATAAACAATATAAAAATTTTGTATATTGGCATTCAGTTCCAGCTGTATGCAATAAAAAATTATATTCCTTACTCTAATTTAAATAATTAATTTCATTATTTGTCTATTTATTTATTTATTGCAAATAATTATTGCACAAATAATTTGGTAACGCTCTATTTGGATAAATATCTATGTAGAAAAATATAAGAATTAGAAAATGAGAAAAAAATAGGCAAGATATCTTACTTAGCTCTCGTACTTAAAAGCATCGTATTTAACATATGCAACATCTAATAATCTAATAATAGTTCAACATAAAATCTGGATAAATATTTTTTATGTGCATTTCTATTAATATCAGTCTCTTTTTTAGAGATCTATCCATACTTGTCTTGCAAGTATTTAATAACAATATTAAATGTTGCTTATCATGATGCTTATCATGAACTAATAAAATACTGTGTATGCTCTGTTGAAGATACTTCTTTTACATATATATCACATTCTTATATGTTACTTGTACTGTATCTTTTATTCATCAGTGCATAACACAGACTATCATCGTTTTATAAAAGTGTTCTCGTTTACAGTTTTCATTTCCTTCAACAACTTATTTTTCAAATATTATAAAAAATTATCAATATTGAGCAGTCAGTATTTTTTCTTTCTAGATCACCAATATTATTGACTACAAAAATATGTATACTTGATAATATAATTAATTATAAATAGCCTATATTATATTTACATAATATATTCATTCTAGTTATTATAAGAAAATTTATTTTACTTTAAATCTTTAATTATTGTTAATTCACTTCTGGCTGAAAATTTGATGGAGTAGAGACTCTTGTTTGTACATTTTTACTTATTTCCCATTCACTTTCTGGATCAGAAGATATATTTAGAACTCCCAAAATATCGTCTTCTAAAGACATTTCTGATAAATTTTCTATACTTTGTTGATTTACATCAGTATATAGGGATTCTGTTACAGCTAAAAAATAAATATTATAAAATAAAATATTAAATATTATAATATAACAAAAATTTATAAATAATTATAAAAAAATATATATCATATTATTAACAAAAATATATACATGTAATCGTTTTAGACATGTATGCAATAATTAGTAGTTAAAATAAATTACCATCGTTGAGAGTATGTTGAGATAACCATGTGGGTTCATCCCATTCATCAAATTGTAACTTTGTATTATTTTCAATTTCATCCATAGATAACATTGCATGTGATTCAGAGTCTGTAACGTCAAATATTTCTGTTACTTGTACTTTGTTATTATCATCCATATAATAATATGCCATTACAGCTTCTTGATCAGAAGTTACCTATATATTTAAAAAGAAAATTTAAATCGAATTGTGCTTCAAGAATAAGCGCGTTTGATATTTTTAATTTTAAAATTTGTTAATAAACTTGAAAATTAATTATTAATATATATACTTTGCTCACCTGAATAATATTTTCAAAAGTATCATCGATAGTTGAAAGATTAGACATATTTATAACACAATTTGATGTATTACTATGCTCTTTCCATGGTTGTCTAGAAAATATAAATTAAGATAAAAAATATTTATTAATTAAAGAATTTAAAAATATTACTAAAATTTATAGACTTACAATTTATTATATTGTAAAGTAAGATTTAAATTTTTCTTATTTTTATATAAATTATCAGTCTTAGCTGCCTCTTCCATATCATATATGCCTAAAAAAAATGTAAAATATTAATATCATTTTTACTATTTCTTATAATTAATAGAAAATATATAAAAAACTCTATTTACTTGAACCATATTCTGTAATATCTAATTCACATTTAATAGTCTGTGGCATTTGTTGATAGTAGATATTGATTTTAGGGAACAACATGCGTAACTGGTCCAAGAAAAATGTTCTTAATTCTATTAAGTTTCTTCGTAATTTAGGTACATTTAAAATAAACCTGAAAATAAAACAATATTAATTTATTGATAATTAATTAACTGAGAAAGCACGTTAGTAAAAATCATACAAACAGAAAATATAAATAAACCAGCATTTAATATGAAATCTACGATATAATTATTTATAAATTATAAATATATAACTGTTTAAAATAAAAATTTACAAAATCCTATTTATAATAGATTATTTGAATTATATTCAATTAAGATATCTTTATTTCATTTTCTATAATTGTATGCTTAAGTCATTGTATATAGGAATTTAAGAAATGCAAAGTTTGTTTTATAACAAAACTTAAAAATTGCTAAGCTTACCAGGAAGATGTCATATTATGTCTACCACAAGAAATCATTTGTGGAGATGTATGAAGAATATTGCCAATTATATTGTACTCCAAGGTGTAATTTTCTATCTTGTTACCAATCAAACTATGACCACATGCATAATGTTAAATATGATATACATAATCACAATATTAAATAAATGCAAAAATTAAAAATCAAATAATTAAAATATGAGCGATGAGTGAAATGTTAATATAAATATAATTTTAAAATAATAGTACATATATACCAAGCATAAAAATCATTACTAACATTAGTTACTAAATAAAAAAGATACGAATATACTTATTAATTTTGTCACAAATACAATAACATTATTATTTTACTAACATGCAATTTTAAACAAGCAATATTTCATGCATATTAGTTTCTTATTCTATTTATATATATAATTCTATCAAATTTATATTAATATTAAAAAATACAATATATACAACAATTATTTTAAAGATGAAAATATCATTAAAAAAATAAATATATAATAAAATACTTACTTTGTAAAAGTTGCATACATTACATCTGCTGGCAATATACATGGTAGACTAAGTAATGATAAAAGTTTTACACTTCGATGTTTAAATAACCAATTAATGATGCCTTTATTAGCAGAATCAATTGCATCTTGAAATATAGTCATGACTGTCTCAGGTAAATTAGATACAAGTGCTTCCTATAAAAAATATATGTGTAATAATAAATTGATGTATAAAGAGTATTTTTATTATAATTTGTATAACTTACTGAAATTACTATACCTGTCTATGCATTTTACATTCTAAGCATTCAGGATCATAATCCATGTTATCATCAAGAGTTTCTGAGACAACAAATGTAGACTGTACAGCTAAACATCGAGTACAATTGAGTAAGTTATTGCGGTGAAGAAATCTTAATGCATCATCAAAACCTTGTTTGCAGATATTTGAAAGCATCTGTAAACATAATTTTGAATAATATTAAAAGTAATATTAGTGTCTAAATTTTATCCATATAAAATCTAATATGGGTAATAAATATTTTGTACCTCTGGATTTGGTGGAAAAAGTATTCTTGCAAACCTGTATATATTTTGTCTTGAGAGTTCAATACTTGTATTGGAAAGATTAACCTATAAATTATAAATATTCGTTCATTATATTTTATGTGCAATTTAATAATCTACTATTAAATAATTAAGTTAATTTAATTTAAATGTTTCTCAAATTATTCAAATAATCATAAATTATTTACATGGAAAAGTTGAGAAGAAACATCTCTAGGACAAATATCACTTTCTCCACAAAAAGGACTAACAGTAATAGTATTTTCATCAAGAGTAGGCAAATTATCACTAAAACCACCATCTATGTACCTAATACCATGATATCTTGGTGGTAAAATACCAGAGAAAATTGGGACAAACGCACTAGCCAATAATGCCTATAAAAGAAAAGTAATACAAATTTTAATTTATGTAAATTTTAATTATATAAATTTGAAATATATACAAAATATAAAAGACATGGTATAGATGAATTGTTTTACCTGCAGCAAGTCCTCTCTAGAAGAAAACTGTGAAACAATTACGTTTTTTCCATCGTATACTCTTGTTAAGGAAATGTGTAGTTTACCGCTTACACGAATATGAGCGTCATTAGGAACATGCTGAAATAAATATAGTACTCAGTTTAACAACTTTAAAAAATATAAATATAAATATTATCTTCACAAAACTTGAATATTTATAACCATTTTCAATTGTTGTTAATAATATATACCTTTTGTAAACTTTCGAACAATAATTCTTGTACATTAAATGATGGACTAAATGGACCAAGTGTTCGTTGTCGTGCTTCACGTGCAACCCGTAATATATTGCTTGTGAACTCCCCTACAAAAAGATATAATACTTATAATTATCACACAATAATTAAGAGTATGCTATCCAACTAAAGATAATATAAAGTAAATCACAAACTAAATTATATTAAAATTAAATTTCATAAACTTTCTTCGGACAAAAAGTTTATTTAATACATACATAACGATACTAATCTGTGATGTGGTTAAAAATATAATTAAATATATAGTATAAAATATCCTTTCTACTTTTTATTGTTCCTGAAAAACCTTAAATAATTCCTACTGTATTATTCCAAAATTTAAGATATCTTCCTATTTATCACATAAGTAAGAAGCAAATATCGAAGATGTACTTTTCTTGAATTTTCAATATACTTTGATTGTATCAATACCTTAAATTAATTATGATATGTATCTCTATGTTATATCTATAAATGTACAGATACTAATGTAAGTACATATAAAACTTATATCGTATATTTGTTTATTAAATTTATTAAATTTTATAGTCATAATATAGAAATATCTTCAGTAAAAATATAAATAAATAATAATATAAATTAATTATGAATTAAATGAATAAGTTAATATTATGAACTAATTAATATGTACTATGAGAATGTAGAATTAAAATTTTTGTATATTTATTGAATACATTAGTCAAACGATTTAACTATGCAGCTATATAAATAAATAAATATATATATATATTTATTTAATTATTTATAATATATATATTTATTTAATTATTTATAATATATTTACAATATATATTTATTATTTATGTATTTATAAATATATACGTATTATGATTTGATACTTTGTATTATTAAAGATATCGTTTTACATTACTCAAGTTCCTTACCTCAGTTACCTTACTATATTTCTTTCATTAGTATACTTACATGGTATATATTACAAGGTCGCGGATATGATTCGTTTAGAAATATATCATTTGGCTAAGATAATAATAAGAAAATGTATATAAACAATAATTTAACAAATTCAAATTTCCACTCCATTTTATAAACTCATTATATATGTATATATATTTTATAAATTATAATTATGAGAAAATATACCATTAAGATATATATGAAAAAATTACCATTTGAAATTCTTAATAATATTAAATTTAAAGTCCGCGTAAAAGAGAAAAAAATTATCTTTATCTCTGTACGAAATATGGAAATCAGAATAAAAATTAAAAATGAAGTTTTCTATTAGATAGAAAGTACTATTTTTTAAAGTACTTTTATAAAAGTTTTCTAAGTAGATAGAAAGTACTATTATGCAACA